TTGGAAACTCATGAATCATTTATGAAGGTTTCCAAAAATGGGGATACCAGATACCCCCAAATCATTATATAAATCAATCCTACCCTTCGTCCGCACCTTGCCATGCTGTTCTTCCAAGTTGCTGACTGCTTCTAAACCTGGAGGGGGTTAGAGTTGGGGGTTAAGATAGGACCATTTCAACATGGGAAGAGATCCCATCAAAACAACATTAGTTGCAAGGTGTTTGTTAGTTGCACTAATAGTATAGAGATCTAACATCATGTTGTTACTAATAGTCAACTCTAATTATCAGTTCACACATTTTGAATCTAATATTCACTGATAATTAGAGATAACCGTCAGACTCAGGATGCAAATGGATGCAAGGTAGAACACTCTGGGCAGCCTAAAAGGCACACGCATATAGAAAGTGCACTATGAATCTTGTGCATGAACTCCTGAATAAATGTACGATGTGCAGATATGTGTACATATCTATAAATCTATCTATCTATCTACCTATCTATCTATCTATCCATCTATCTATCTATCTGTCCATCCATCTATCTATCCATCTATCTATCTATCCTATCTATCTATCTATCTATCGATCGATCGATCTATCTATCCTATCTATCCTATCTATCCTATCTATCTATCTATCTATCTATTTATCTATCTATCTTTCTATCTATCTATCTATCTATCTATTCCTATCTATTATCCTATCTATTATCCTATCTATTCCTATTATCCTATCTATTATCCTATCTATTATCCTATCTATTATCTATCTATCTATCTATCTACCTATCTATATCTACCCTATCTATCCTATCTATTCCTATCTATTCCTATCTATTCCTATCTATTCCTATCTATTCCTATCTATTCCTATCTATTCCTATCTATTCCTATCTATCCTATCTATCCTATCTATCCTATTTATCCTATCTATCCTATCTATCCTATCTATCCTATCTATCCTATCTACCCTATCTATCCTATCTATCCTATCTACCCTATCTATCCTATCTATCATATCTATCCTATCTATCCTATCTATCCTATCTATCCTATCTATCCTATCTATCCTATCTATCCTGTCTATCCTATCTATCCTATCTATCCTATCTATCCTATCTATCCTATCTATCCTATCGATCCTATCGATCCTATCGATCCTATCTATCCTATCGATCCTATCTATCCTATCTATCCTATCGATCCTGTCTATCCTATCTATCCTATCTATCCTATCTATCCTATCTATCCTATCTATCCTATCTATCCTATCTATCCTATCGATCCTATCGATCCTATCGATCCTATCTATCCTATCGATCCTATCGATCCTATCTATCCTATCGATCCTATCGATCCTGTCTATCCTATCTATCCTATCTATCCTATCTATCCTATCTATCCTATCTATCCTATCTATCCTATCTATCCTATCTATCCTATCTATCCTATCTATCTATCCTATCTATCTATCTATCTATCTATCTATCTATCTATCTATCTATCTTCCTATCTATCCTATCTATCCTATCTATCCTATCTATCCTATCTATCCTATCTATCCTATCTATCCTATCTATCCTATCTATCCTATCTATCCTATCTATC